CTTATTAATTTTAAAATGTATTGGAATAATCAATTTCAAATGTGACGGTCAAGTAATTTTGGGACTTCATTTTCTCATTAATCAATTCTATATAATTGTTTAACAATATCTGTAGTTAGTTTTAGGATAATACTTAAGTTATTTTTCTGTTAGAGTTCCTTATTTCGTTTTTTCATTACAATATTTATTTTCCAGTCATTTAAATTGAAAATTAAGGTTAACAAAATCAAATTATCATTGCAAGCTGTACAAAAGGTTGATACGATTTTTACGAACGAAGATGTACTTTTAAGTAATGCAAACAACCTTTGGTTCAAATAAGAAAAAAAACAACATATAAATAAAATATTTGGCTTTACAGTGTTAACGTTAACGGGAAATAAAAATATTTTAGAAATAATTTAGTTAATAAATTAAAATTTTACATAAATAAATTTCTTTTCTCCATAAAAGTATGAATGGAGATATTTTAATATGGTTTTTTCTTTACTCTAAATTTGTAATCCATATTAATAAAGAGAAAAGGAAGAAAAAAAACCTTAACTGGAAGGACATCCATGACCAGTAGCAGCTGAAACGTCTAAAATCATGATTTGAAGAGAGAACAAACAAGATTCTACTGAAAAACAAAGTTCAGAGTTTTTCCAACAGAAAGAAAAACGTAGAATTGATTTTTCTCATTTGATATTGATAGAAGCATGGTAGAAGTAGGTGAAGTTTCTTGTTTGAATGAAGCTTTAATTGAAGACTATTATACTATAAACCCCACATGTTGGATCTTGTTCATTGAAATTTCTATTGGGTGGAAGACCTTTTTTTAGGTTAAGTAGAAGACATTTTTCATTCAAGTTCAGAGGTTTCTCTCTACCACCAACGTACGTGCTCTCATACTTTTCACCTTATCCTTGCGTTTTCATGCTTCTAAACTATTTCTTTAAATTTAATTTAATCTTAGTTCAATTATTTTATGTAAATACAATAATATAAATTTATTAATTTTAACCTTTTCTTTTTGATAATATTTCAAATTATAAATAAAAAATTTATTTAATCTTTATTAATATTATTTTACTGTTAAAATTTCTTAAGATTTTTTCACCACACATCAAGGTTTTTTATTGACGTAAGAAGTTTTTTTTTGTCAATGTTGAACACGCCTATTACTTCTTGACAATGCTAAACACACACTTTTACATATGTTGACATTGATCAAATTATTTCTACAACGAAATTGGGTTAGGGTATTTTGTTGTCGTCGGCTGAAAAATTCTTCCTGATGACTTTGGTAAATAAATTCTAATGAATGTGGATAAAATAACAATTAATTTTAGTACGACAAAAGCTTTAACTTAAAAATAGTTATTGTGTGATTATGACACTCAATTTATGACAAGACAATATTGTTTCAGTCTCACTAGGTAGATGTTCTAACTAAACCCAGACGAATAATGTTGAGATGTCCTACAAAAGATAAGAAGACGGGATAGGCGATTGAGGTTAATTTACAAAAATGGTGTAGTATGGTTATTTATCAGAATTGAAAAAAAGTTGTTTTTGCTGAAAGGGACTGAGGAAACTCCTGCTGTTATCGTTCGGAAACACTCCTCCTTCACCGAACGGTCTTTCGCTTCCGCCTTACCTCTTGATTCTTCCTCTCTCAATGTCAAAGTGGGGTGACCTGTAGAAAACACTCCAACGCTCAACTCAAAATTTATCTCCGCAAGTCTAATGAAAATCAGTCAGATCAGAGGGTTTACCTTCTTAATCGATTGTTATTTATATGATTTCAAGGATATTATCCATTAATTTACCTTTTAATGACAATCAATCCTCACCTTAACTGCTCGACAATGACCGTTACATTATTAATTTTGCATTCATGGACATTCAAAAGTTGTCTCCAGTCTTGGAGAGTTCGCGAGTATTACCCTGACGTCCGATCAGGAATGATCGGCTTTTCATCACCCTTACGTGCCCGATCGGTCTGATTAATACTTCCATCGTCCCGGGACAATCGATCCAACCTACTCGTAATGATTAAGCATGCCCGATCGGTCTATCCTATTCGGTATAACAAAAGTAATTACGAGGGTAGATAAATCGTGTTCGGAATCACGATTTTACTTTTTAAAATGAAGAAGTCATACATTATATAAAAAAAAAAACTGGAATACACGTTTGATGGTACGACTTTAAATAAGACAAAAATAATAATTTTTGAAACTAAAATCCCGAGTGAAATTATTCATTGTTAAGTAATAATTTTAAGCATAACTTGTCCACACTTTGCTCTCTTTAATTCTGCCAATTTTAGTAATAACTATACTAAATTGCATTTTTTTTGTAAATTAGTCACCGACTCCCCAACTTTATCTTTAAATTTGATTTTTAATTTTATATTTTAAAAATTTGTTATATTTATACCACGTTTAATTAAATACATATTTTTTAAGTTTTTAATTGATTAGTTAATATCTTATAAATTAAAAATCAATTATTATTTTTAAATGTTAAATTATTTATTATAATTAATAATAAGAATTTAATTTGCAAATGTTAATTATTTAAGTTTTCGTATTATTGTATACCTACATTAGACTAACATAATACCTATACTGTTTTTTTTGCCTCAATTTTTACTTTAAAAAAAATGGACTGATGGGTTAGATGTGGGTCAAACTGGTCCATGTGTCAAATACTCACATTGACGCTATTAGAGAAAGAATATAAATACCTTTAAACTTTTATTTAAATAGAATATAAAATTCTTTAATTTTAAGTAATTCAATTACATAGATAAAATAATAGAATTTTATTTTCTTTTAAAAAATATATTTAAATAATATATTTTTGTCATAAAACATTTCAATTTTTTATAAAAATGAATTATTCTATAAAAATTTCATTTAAACGTACCTTAACAACAATCAACTTCAAAGTTTTTCTGACATTAGGATTATTTTAATATAATAATTTAATTAAGGTCATTTTCGTCGCAAGAGTCGTTATATAGGATATAAATTTATTTTTAAGATTTCACATTTAAATATAATTTTTTTTAACATCCCACTTTAATGTTATTTTCCTATAAACTTATCGAGAAGAGTTGTTTCTAAGATAAAAAAAAAAATTTGACTTTTAAACCCTAATTTCTTAAAGTTTTTTGTTATAGCAACAGTATAATAGAGGAGTTTTATAAGAATCAGCTCTTAAATTTATGATCATAAATATAATTCCCATATCAGAGACATCCTAATAATTCATCCAAAACATATCCATTTATTTGTTTTCTATCCCTTTTTATATTATTATAATATGTGGAAAATAAATTTAAAAAATGAGACTTTCACACATAATGAAAAATATCATTTATGATTACAATTTAATTCTTAAGTTTATAAAAAAAGTGATATTTATATCATCATTGTTAATATTAAGGTGAATTTTTAAGCCTAACTCAATCCTACAAAATTGAAAGTGTAATTCAATCCCACAAAATCAGCTTGTAAAATTAGGTTTTTACCTCACTTATATACTAGAAATTGATCTTATTTATAGTCGATGTCGAACTCTTGACAATTAATTATAATCACACTGTGTGGCATGATTAATAATTAGTTAGAGTGCATCTGTATTAGAAATTGCTTAGCAACTAATAGTTTATTTTCAATAAAAGTATTATTTTATATAGATCATAAACGGTTTACTATGACATTTTATATTGTGGTGTGGTTAAAAGCATGCCTTGACACTGCAAGAGAATGAGAGATGAGAACATCACATTCCGATGTTGATTAGTGGGGATTTGGGCCGTCTTTGTCAAAACAATTTTGGATTGGTTTAACGACCTTTCAGGCCCAATTCGTTTCCTCTTTTAAAATAATACTAATTTTAAATCTGTATTTATTAAAAGAGATTTGTACATCCAAAAAATAAATAGTAAATACTTTTAATTTTATTAATAATTTTAAATAAATTTTATTTATATGTTTACAAAGTCAATAAAACGCATATAAATATTTTTCGTTGGGTATATTTTTGCCTGAGAAACACTCTACATGTCTTTTGACTAAATTCGAACTTATTCTGAGACGTTATGAAATTAGTTTTTTTCAAATCCCTGTTGACATATCAATCTATTTTGTGATACTCAGAAAACATTAACTGTATAAATATAAGTAAAATTAAAAAAATGTATTAAAATCATAGTTATATAATAAGTGATAAAACTATAAACACGGGTAATTGGTTTTTTAATTTTGAAAATTGTAAAAAAAAAGTAAATTCTCATATAAAGAGTAATTTTGTAAATATATTTTAATACATAATGTTGATTAAAAAATCAAATTATTACATTCAATTGGATAATTAAATAAAGAATAAAAGTGAAAACTTCAAAATACAGATCATTCAATCATACCTTGCTTCTATACTTATGATTTACATCGAATATCTATGATGTTATCAAGAGTTCTCCATTGACACACTCAATATTTTCACCTACACTTTGTTCTATGGTTATATATTTATGGTTGATCCTTAAAGTGTGTTACATTTTAAATAGAGGAATGGTCACAAGGAAAAGCGAACACATTGTTCTTTTCTACATGTTAAAGCTCACATGGAATTCCAGTTTCAATTTATACCATTTTTGCATTTTTATTTGATGTGAATTACAGTTTATTATATTAGTTTTACGTTTATTTACAATTTTTATTTCAATGTAAAAGTTTTAAAAAAATCTATAATCTAATTAATATTTTATTTAATTAATTATTAAAATATATTTCAGGATACTAATATTTTTCTTTTTGGTTTTCCAATTTAGTGATTCAAATTGTATGCATTTATAATAATTATATAAAATTCAAATCTTAAACATATGATAGAATAATTACTCCAATTAATAGTTTGAGGTGTAATTGGTGGTTTTAGCTTTGTTTTATCTATGGTTATGAATATGATAAAAAAAAACACAAAAAATGCATGATCAAGCAATGTCATGATCACATTACAAGCATATCTGAACTATGCAGGAGTTCAATCAATCAGCATCTCTGTCAACTTGTGAAGCCATGAAATCAGATGGATAAGAAAGAGCTTTTATACATATATAGATTGATAAACCATAATCTACATACATAACATTAGATTACTAGTCTAGAGCTTGTGTTAGAAAAGTTCAGTTAATTGTTGATGTAAATACTAGTGAACTACTCCCCCTTCATCCCCTTCAAGAATTTGTGCACTTGAAGCATGGTTGGCCTGTTTGCAGGATTGTCAGATATGCAAACACAAGCAATTTGCAGCATTTGAAGCATCATCTGCTTTGAGTCGGCATCAAGAACTGATGGATCAAGAACATCAGCAGCCTGTCCCTTCTTGATCTTCTGAGTAACCCATCCAACCAAGTTACCACCTTCAATCTCTTTAAAATCTGGTCCTGTTGGCTCTTTACCAGTCACAAGTTCAAGCAAAATGACCCCAAAACTGTAAACATCTCCTCTTGTTGTGGATCTCCCACTCTGTCCATACTCTGGTGGAATGTAACCAAATGTTCCAGCAATATCAGTGGTGATATGAGTCTCACAGGCACTGATCAGTCTTGCCAGTCCAAAGTCTGCAACCTTTGGCTCAAAATTTTCATTCAGCAAGATGTTGCTAGCTTTAACATCCCTGTGAATGATGTGAGGTATAAAACCATGATGAAGGAAAGCTAATCCTCGAGCAGCGTCAGTTGCAATTTTGTAACGTTTGTTCCAGCTCAGGATTTCAAGTGCCCCGGTCTTATTTCTCAACCAAAGATCTAAGCTCCCATTTACCATATATTCATAAACGAGCAGTTTCTCCTCGCCGATTGAGCAATATCCAAGTAATTCAACGAGATTTTGATGCTTCACCTTGCCCAAGGTTTCCATTTCAGCCATGAACTCACGATGACCTTGCGTTTTTGCCTCACTAAGCTTCTTCACTGCAACCGTTTTTCCATTAGGTAAAGTGGCCTTGTACACAGTTCCAAAACCTCCATCTCCAATTATATTTGTCTTGCTGAAGTTGTCAGTTGCTTCAAGGATGTCCACCAAAGTTAATTTCAGAAGAGGCTGCTCAAACATTGCAACATTGATACTCAATGGCTCCTTTGATCTGCTACTGCTCAAGAAATAAAGATTGTGATCAACATAACTGTTTAGTTTGCGCTCCACAAGTTCCTCAGGATTAGTTTGCCTCCTGGTAATCCATTTATGCAGAACAAAAGCAATGCTTAGAGTTAGCAGTAAAAGTGTAACCGCAATTGCAGCAAGCCGCCATGCATTATACAATACTGATCTTCCAATGCTTTTATCCTGACAAATTATACCCAACATCTGGCCACAAAGGTTTCTGTTCCCTGCAAGTCTAAATCTGGGTAGGTTCTGGCAAATACCATTACTTGGTATCGGCCCTTCCAACCTGTTTCGTGACACATCTAGGTAAACCAGATTATCTAGGCCGCATAACTTGTCTGGAATCCTTCCAGATAGTTTATTACCTGAAACATCAAAATATTCCATTTGCATAAGATCCCCAAGGTCTAAAGGAATGTCTCCAGTCAACATATTTCCATGAAGATCCAAATTTGTCAGGTAAGAAAGATTTCCCAAAGACCGCGGCAAGTTCCCATTGAAGCAATTGTCACTTAAATTCACTGTCTCAATCCTCCATGTCATGGAGTTTGAGAAGAGCTCCCCTAGTTGGCCTGAAAGCCTGTTATTTTGCACATAAATCCCAACAAGGCTTTGCACTCCTGAAAGAGAAGAAGGAAGCTCGCCGCTCAGCTCATTATAGCTCAAATCCAAGTGAGTCAACCCTTTCATGTTCTCAAAACTCACCGGAATTGAACCAGACAACTTATTTCCTGTCAAATTCAGCTTCACCAAATTAGTCAACTTTCCAAAGCTTTGAGGGATGGTACCTGACAGCTGATTACGTCCCAAATACAAACCCTGGAGCTTGAGCACACCTCCAAGCTCCAGTGGAATGGAACCCGACAACAAGTTGTCAGACAGATCCAAAGTTGTAAGATTCGTCAACAGTGAAAGTGATTTAGGAATGCTACCAGAGAGCATGTTGTTGCTAACTAAGAGATTCACAACCACTGCACAACTCCCAATTTCATCGGGTATGGGGCCAGACAATCTGTTGTGAGAGAGATCAAACACGCCAAGGTGCTGGACAAAGCTNAAAATGAATTATTCTATAAAAATTTCATTTAAACGTACCTTAACAACAATCAACTTCAAAGTTTTTCTGACATTAGGATTATTTTAATATAATAATTTAATTAAGGTCATTTTCGTCGCAAGAGTCGTTATATAGGATATAAATTTATTTTTAAGATTTCACATTTAAATATAATTTTTTTTAACATCCCACTTTAATGTTATTTTCCTATAAACTTATCGAGAAGAGTTGTTTCTAAGATAAAAAAAAAAATTTGACTTTTAAACCCTAATTTCTTAAAGTTTTTTGTTATAGCAACAGTATAATAGAGGAGTTTTATAAGAATCAGCTCTTAAATTTATGATCATAAATATAATTCCCATATCAGAGACATCCTAATAATTCATCCAAAACATATCCATTTATTTGTTTTCTATCCCTTTTTATATTATTATAATATGTGGAAAATAAATTTAAAAAATGAGACTTTCACACATAATGAAAAATATCATTTATGATTACAATTTAATTCTTAAGTTTATAAAAAAAGTGATATTTATATCATCATCGTTAATATTAAGGTGAATTTTTAAGCCTAACTCAATCCTACAAAATTGAAAGTGTAATTCAATCCCACAAAATCAGCTTGTAAAATAAGGTTTGTACCTCACTTATATACTAGAAATTGATCTTATTTATAGTCGATGTCGAACTCTTGACAATTAATTATAATCACACTGTGTGGCATGATTAATAATTAGTTAGAGTGCATCTGTATTAGAAATTGCTTAGCAACTAATAGTTTATTTTCAATAAAAGTATTATTTTATATAGATCATAAACGGTTTACTATGACATTTTATATTGTGGTGTGGTTAAAAGCATGCCTTGACACTGCAAGAGAATGAGAGATGAGAACATCACATTCCGATGTTGATTAGTGGGGATTTGGGCCGTCTTTGTCAAAACAATTTTGGATTGGTTTAACGACCTTTCAGGCCCAATTCGTTTCCTCTTTTAAAATAATACTAATTTTAAATCTGTATTTATTAAAAGAGATTTGTACATCCAAAAAATAAATAGTAAATACTTTTAATTTTATTAATAATTTTAAATAAATTTTATTTATATGTTTACAAAGTCAATAAAACGCATATAAATATTTTTCGTTGGGTATATTTTTGCCTGAGAAACACTCTACATGTCTTTTGACTAAATTCGAACTTATTCTGAGACGTTATGAAATTAGTTTTTTTCAAATCCCTGTTGACATATCAATCTATTTTGTGATACTCAGAAAACATTAACTGTATAAATATAAGTAAAATTAAAAAAATGTATTAAAATCATAGTTATATAATAAGTGATAAAACTATAAACACGGGTAATTGGTTTTTTAATTTTGAAAACTGTAAAAAAAAAGTAAATTCTCATATAAAGAGTAATTTTGTAAATATATTTTAATACATAATGTTGATTAAAAAATCAAATTATTACATTCAATTGGATAATTAAATAAAGAATAAAAGTGAAAACTTCAAAATACAGATCATTCAATCATACCTTGCTTCTATACTTATGATTTACATCGAATATCTATGATGTTATCAAGAGTTCTCCATTGACACACTCAATATTTTCACCTACACTTTGTTCTATGGTTATATATTTATGGTTGATCCTTAAAGTGTGTTACATTTTAAATAGAGGAATGGTCACAAGGAAAAGCGAACACATTGTTCTTTTCCACATGTTAAAGCTCACATGGAATTCCAGTTTCAAATTATACCATTTTTGCATTTTTATTTGATGTGAATTACAGTTTATTATATTAGTTTTACGTTTATTTACAATTTTTATTTCAATGTAAAAGTTTTAAAAAAATATATAATCTAATTAATATTTTATTTAATTAATTATTAAAAATATATTTCAGATACTAATATTTTTTTTTTGGTTTTCCAATTTAGTGATTTAAATTGTATGCATTTATAATAATTATATAAAATTCAAATCTTAAACATATGATAGAATAATTACTCCAATTAATAGTTTGAGGTGTAATTGGTGGTTTTAGCTTTGTTTTATCTATGGTTATGAATATGATAAAAAAAAACACAAAAAATGCATGATCAAGCAATGTCATGATCACATTACAAGCATATCTGAACTATGCAGGAGTTCAATCAATCAGCATCTCTGTCAACTTGTGAAGCCATGAAATCAGATGGATAAGAAAGAGCTTTTATACATATATAGATTGATAAACCATAATCTACATACATAACATTAGATTACTAGTCTAGAGCTTGTGTTAGAAAAGTTCAGTTAATTGTTGATGTAAATACTAGTGAACTACTCCCCCTTCATCCCCTTCAAGAATTTGTGCACTTGAAGCATGGTTGGCCTGTTTGCAGGATTGTCAGATATGCAAACACAAGCAATTTGCAGCATTTGAAGCATCATCTGCTTTGAGTCGGCATCAAGAACTGATGGATCAAGAACATCAGCAGCCTGTCCCTTCTTGATCTTCTGAGTAACCCATCCAACCAAGTTACCACCTTCAATCTCTTTAAAATCTGGTCCTGTTGGCTCTTTACCAGTCACAAGTTCAAGCAAAATGACCCCAAAACTGTAAACATCTCCTCTTGTTGTGGATCTCCCACTCTGTCCATACTCTGGTGGAATGTAACCAAATGTTCCAGCAATATCAGTGGTGATATGAGTCTCACAGGCACTGATCAGTCTTGCCAGTCCAAAGTCTGCAACCTTTGGCTCAAAATTTTCATTCAGCAAGATGTTGCTAGCTTTAACATCCCTGTGAATGATGTGAGGTATAAAACCATGATGAAGGAAAGCTAATCCTCGAGCAGCGTCAGTTGCAATTTTGTAACGTTTGTTCCAGCTCAGGATTTCAAGTGCCCCGGTCTTATTTCTCAACCAAAGATCTAAGCTCCCATTTACCATATATTCATAAACGAGCAGTTTCTCCTCGCCGATTGAGCAATATCCAAGTAATTCAACGAGATTTTGATGCTTCACCTTGCCCAAGGTTTCCATTTCAGCCATGAACTCACGATGACCTTGCGTTTTTGCCTCACTAAGCTTCTTCACTGCAACCGTTTTTCCATTAGGTAAAGTGGCCTTGTACACAGTTCCAAAACCTCCATCTCCAATTATATTTGTCTTGCTGAAGTTGTCAGTTGCTTCAAGGATGTCCACCAAAGTTAATTTCAGAAGAGGCTGCTCAAACATTGCAACATTGATACTCAATGGCTCCTTTGATCTGCTACTGCTCAAGAAATAAAGATTGTGATCAACATAACTGTTTAGTTTGCGCTCCACAAGTTCCTCAGGATTAGTTTGCCTCCTGGTAATCCATTTATGCAGAACAAAAGCAATGCTTAGAGTTAGCAGTAAAAGTGTAACCGCAATTGCAGCAAGCCGCCATGCATTATACAATACTGATCTTCCAATGCTTTTATCCTGACAAATTATACCCAACATCTGGCCACAAAGGTTTCTGTTCCCTGCAAGTCTAAATCTGGGTAGGTTCTGGCAAATACCATTACTTGGTATCGGCCCTTCCAACCTGTTTCGTGACACATCTAGGTAAACCAGATTATCTAGGCCGCATAACTTGTCTGGAATCCTTCCAGATAGTTTATTACCTGAAACATCAAAATATTCCATTTGCATAAGATCCCCAAGGTCTAAAGGAATGTCTCCAGTCAACATATTTCCATGAAGATCCAAATTTGTCAGGTAAGAAAGATTTCCCAAAGACCGCGGCAAGTTCCCATTGAAGCAATTGTCACTTAAATTCACTGTCTCAATCCTCCATGTCATGGAGTTTGAGAAGAGCTCCCCTAGTTGGCCTGAAAGCCTGTTATTTTGTACATAAATCCCAACAAGGCTTTGCACTCCTGAAAGAGAAGAAGGAAGCTCGCCGCTCAGCTCATTATAGCTCAAATCCAAGTGAGTCAACCCTTTCATGTTCTCAAAACTCACCGGAATTGAACCAGACAACTTATTTCCTGTCAAATTCAGCTTCACCAAATTAGTCAACTTTCCAAAGCTTTGAGGGATGGTACCTGACAGCTGATTACGTCCCAAATACAAACCCTGGAGCTTGAGCACACCTCCAAGCTCCAGTGGAATGGAACCCGACAACAAGTTGTCAGACAGATCCAAAGTTGTAAGATTCGTCAACAGTGAAAGTGATTTAGGAATGCTACCAGAGAGCATGTTGTTGCTAACTAAGAGATTCACAACCACTGCACAACTCCCAATTTCATCGGGTATGGGGCCAGACAATCTGTTGTGAGAGAGATCAAACACGCCAAGGTGCTGGACAAAGCTTAGATCAGGGATGCTACGCTGTCGAAAATATGAAGATTTTTTGGCAGGAATGGACCCAGATAGATTATTGTGAGAAAGAACCAGACACTGCAATTGACTCAGTTCAACCAGTTTCTCAGGAATAGATCCGTTCAGCTTATTATTTCCAAGGTCCAGTGTGGTGAGGGAAGTGCAGCCACCAAGCTCAGTTGGGATACTCCCTTCAAGCATATTCGCGTTCAAATTAAGAACTGAGAGATTTGAGAGTCTCCCAATTTCCTTAGGAATAGTACCTGTCAGACGATTATTGCTAAGAACAAGCCTCTCCAGAATAACTGCATTCCCAATCTCCACAGGAAGAGAACCCTCCAAACGGTTATTAGCAGCGGAGAATTCCATCAGAGCCAATGATTTCCACAGCCCAGAAGGTATTTTCCCACTAAAATTGTTAGAATCAAGGTCCAGCACCATCAAGGGTAACTCAGAAAGATACTCGGGTATAGAACCAACAATCCTATTATTCATCAAAACCAACTGTGTAAGGTTCTTACACTTGACGAACACTTTCTCAAGAGTACCAGAGAGAAAGTTGTCATCAAGATCAACCTCCAAAAGTGAGGCAGCATTGCAAAGCTCCTCAGGAATAGGACCTGTCAGCAAATTACTGCTTAAACTGAGGTGCTCCATCACAGAACAATTCCCAAGTTCAGGAGGAATAACCCCAGAAAAACGGTTAGCAGAGAGCAAAAGAGAATCGATATTGCTCCACTTCCCCAGCCAAGAAGGCAAAGGCCCATGAAGCTGATTTTTCTCAGCAGAAAAGGTTAACATGGGAAGCTCAGAAAGCTCCTCAGGCAGAGACCCAGAGAGTGAATTGAAAGAAAGCATCACAGACCTCAAATTCTTACACTTCCCAAGCTCGGCTGGCACCGACCCATTAAGCTGGGCAAACACAAGGTCCAAAATTTTCAAGCTCTCCAGCTCCCCAATGAACCGGGGAATCGAACACCTCAAGGGGTTGTAAGAAAGGTCAAGCTTGGTCAACGCTTTCAGCTTCGCCATTTCCTCAGGCAAAGGACCTTCGATGGAACAGGAAGGAGAGTAGAAAATTTCAAGTTTTGAAAGCAACCCAATCTCCCTCGGCAAAGTCCCAGACAACTTGTTAATCCCCACGTAAAGGGCACTGATGTTCCGCCAGTTCCCGATTTCCGGCGGGATTACGCCGGAAAACGAGTTGTTCGAGATATCAACGGAAATCAAAGACCTCGCTCCGGTAAAGAGACTCACCGGAAGAGAACCGGATAACAAGTTGTTGCTGAGGTCGAGAAACTCAAGCCGGGTCAAATTCCCTACGCTCTCCGGCACTTCTCCAACGAGCGAGTTCCCGGAGAGGTCGAGTGTGCATAGCTTCGTCAAGAGCCCCACCTCCGGCGGGATATTCCCGGCGAGCGAGTTGGAGCCCAGTCGGAGAGTTTCCAGCTGAAGCAACCCGCCGAGCTCGCCGGGGATCTCTCCCGTGAGCTGGTTGTCACGTAGGTTGAGGAGAGAGAGCGAAGAGAGAGAGAAGAGCGACGAAGAGAGTGTTCCTCTGAGGTTGCGGTTGGGAAGAGAGAGCGAAGTGACTCGTCCGAGTTGGCACGTGACGCCGACCCAGTGGCAGTGCGGGGTGGCAGGGTTCCACGAAGGGAGAAGGTGAGGGTTTTGGAGACCCTCTTTGAAGGAAAGAAGGTAAAGCTTGTCGTTGTTTTGTTCTGCGGTGACATGCAGAAAACACAAGAAGAAGAACAGAACGAGGTAGGAGTTTACGAGGTTGAAGGGAAGAGCCATGAAGAGAGTGGCAGAGGGAAGAACGAGAGAAGGGTTAGGTTGGTTTAGAGGAATATGGAGCATGCAAACGGCGTTGGAGAAGGTGGAAGATAATGGGTAGTAGTAGAAGCAGCACGAAAGCTAGGCATTGCCATGAAATGAAGGAGTTGGTTTGAGGAGAGAAGAGCTACAGTGGCAATGCCAAAAGAGGTTATTTGTCAGAATGCACCACGCATAGCACGTGACTTCTACCTTCCCTAACCCCAAATATTACTTTGCCTTCAAAACTGAACTCCCCCAACCCCCTCATCTTTTTCACCCACACATATTGGAGAAAATTTAGTTTTTGTTTATAATTTTATACACATTTAGTCAGAATTATTGACTATTGAAGTAAACTGTAAGATTAAATATATTTTAAAATATACTCTTGCACATTGTTTTAATTGTCAAGAGCAAAACGATGGAAAGAAAACCACAAAAATAATGAATGTGAGTTCAAAGATAGGAAGAGATAAGTTTTATAAGTATTTTAAAAAATAAAAGACGGTAAACATGGTATATAGTAATTGAAAAGAAACATTAGACATACATTATTGAAAATTAATCTTTTAATGCATAAAATAAACTTCTATAGAAAGATTATTCTTTTATGATTTTATTAATTCTTTAAATAAATGAAAATTTATCGACAAAGGTTTAATGCATGTTTATCTATAAATTTTAAAACGATGACAATTGTCACCTTCTGGCAAAGCTAAAAATATGCATGGTAGAGTAAGGCATGATTATCGTTTTATGATTTATTAACGTGTTTAAAGAGTAAATTATATTCTATCAATAAATATTTAATTCTTATTTATTTTAAATATTTTTTGACAGTTTTTTATGTATTTTAAATATATAAGATTAATATTTACAGTTTTCCATAAAAAGAAACAGACTTTTCAATTAAAATATGTATTTTAAACAAGTCGAACAGTAAGAAATTTAAATTTGTAAAAGTTAAAACTATTTGCGATCAACCACTTGACTGTTACTTTAGTACTGCTTTCCATTTATTGAAGGAAGTTCAAAATGGATCTTTCATGAAAGAACCATTCATGATGTTTGTATTATAATCTTAAACTGTGAAAATATCAAGCTGAATCGGCATATTTGTTTTTAATATGGTTTTGTATCATTCTTAATACTTAATCATTGTTCCTCAAAACTCCTCAAACAGTTAACAACTGCAGCTTCCTTTATAAGATAATGGTAATTTTGGACATAGCTAAGCTATTGGCTAAGGTCTTCAGAAAAGAGGGGTTTTGTCCATATTTTTTCCATTGAATTAGGGAAGTTTGTCTCCTCTTATCACTTGGGTTTCTTATGCTGCTCACTTTCTTTCCACATTAACAAATTTATAGAGAGATTTTAAATAGTTATAGGACTGGGCAAGCTTGTGGGATTTGCACATTGCACGGCTATACTTACATTCCTAATTCAAAGTCCAAAAAGATTCTAACTTTTCTTTAGATTAAACTATAACACACTTTCTTTTATCTTCATTGCTTTCGAATCAAAGGTTTATGCAATATGCACTCTTTTTGTTTGTTTCCACCAGTACATGTCATGTCACCAAGTTTAATATTTATTTTTTCTCTTTTGCTCGCTTTTCTTATTATTATTTTTTCTATAAAGTAGTACAACTAAGTATTAATATTTCAATGTTTTCTTCTAATGTTATGTTTCTTTAAAAAATATATAAAATAATTTTTGAAGAATAAATAAAATACCTGCATATTATTTTACTTTGGAAGTGAGGTTGGGATTTGGGCATGAGTGTGAAAGTGAGGTTATTTTGGTCATTAGGAAGCAATGGAGAAATGTGTTGTGGGGTAAGTGATTTGAAGGGACATTGGTGAGTGACTGATGAAATCAGACCAATGGTGGCTTCAAACCAAACACTGTCTCTCTCACTCTCACATGTCTCTTCCCGGGAAGCATGTCCACTTTTCCAATATTTTCAAACCCTGCAACTTCTATTTTCACTCTCTTTTCATTCCTTTTTTGCCCTTTTTTTAAAACTACAAAATTTTCTCTTCTACTTATTTTTTTCAATTTAATATCAGATTTTATTTTCAATACACTGCATATAATAAGAGAACAGAATTAAAAAAAAGAGAGGATGTTATATGTAATGTTCTGTTTTTTTAACCTTACTTTCTCCTTTCACCTTATTTCAAACACTACTCCTAAATTTACTGATTTAAATTTATGAAGTCACATTGTATTTTGTTGAAAAGATTATTTTGATCAATTTTTCGTGATAGAAATTAGATAAATTAGTTTGACCGAATACATGTTGAAATAAAAAAATTATACTTTAAGTATCGGTAATAGTTTTTTAATTATAACATCTATATTCAACCATTATTTTAAAGATTAAAAATCGAGTTTGAATTCAATGTAATTTTTGTTATAATAACATCACTATTTCTTGAAATTAACATATTTATATTAATTTTTAAAAAAGGATATTTTAAGTATTAATATAAATNGATTGAAAAATCATCTCAAACCTCTCTTTTTCTTTTCTATTGCAATTTTTGGATTATTATATAACGATTTTTCAATTTTAAATTTTGCATAATTTTCCATTTATAGAAATAGATAGACTAGAAATAGAAACGACATCTCTTATCTCAATAACACCAAAGATAGGGATATGAAATGAATGGAATTAGTTTATGGATGTAATATAATGAAATAGAGCCAGTTTGAGGTTCCCTATGAAATGAGGCATGGAAGGGAGCCGCTGTGAATAAATTTGACGAGTTACGAAGGAAACTTCGAGTTCCTATTGGTCATGGGTTGAGAACGGGAATTGAACT